ATATATATGAAAAAGATCTATCTCAATCTGATTTGTACGATGGGCCACGCTAAGAGAAAAAAATGACATTATGTGGAAAAAGTCATAGAAATACGAGAATAAAGTTGTATGACAATAAAGTTAATACATTTGAAATATTATGAGAATAATGTCGTAGTATTACGAGAATAAAGTAATAATTTATGAGAATAAAGACACAATATTACTCTTTGAATTGCATGCAGATGTAACCACCTACAGTTTTGCAGTCGTCCACTGCCAGAAAGCTCTTCTTACACAAAACCAGCAATATCTTTCAAATCTGTGTGGTTCTTTCTTCGAAACGGACATAGTCGTTTGTACAATCTTTTCAAAGTCCTGATACAGATTATAATCTGATGCTGATGTGCTAATAGATGAAGTATTTCCTTATTTGTAAAACCAGTACCAAAGTATAACATAACAAGATGTTCAACATTCATCATTTTACCTCCGTTGTAAGATTATTTTGCTGTGTCAGAGCTCTGATAATATTACAACTTTATTCTGGTAATATTAAGAGTTTATTCACATAATCTTATTAATTTATTCTTGTATTGTTTCTACTTTATTTTCGTATTATTTTGACTTTATTCTCGTAATATTTCAATTTTATTCTTATAATATTATGACTTTATTCTCGTAATACTACAACTTTCTTATAGTAATTTTATGACTTTTTTCTCATATTTTTTTTCTCCTTAGCGTGGCCCTAATACTCCGACGTAGATTTGTGTAGGTGATTTACAGAAACATAAAAAGTGAGAACAAACTTTTTCTTGTTCCTGCTCCCTCTCATGCTTCTTTTCATTTAGTTTCTTTAGCATCCAACGAAAATCAGTGATACCATATTGAGCACAAATGTTCTCATATTCTTTCTTGTCTGCACTCAGTAACAGCTCCCAGAACTTGTCATCGATCTCTGGCTTTACGTCTTCTTTAGGCTCTATAAATGTCCTTAAAAATACATAAAAAGGCAAGTTTTTTAAAACCAAGTTTACATTTGAAATCAAACCAAAAAAAGTCAGTTTATTAATGAACTTGTTTCTCACTCACGTGCTTCTTAAAGTCTTTTTAAAGTCTTCGGGTAACTCCCGGATAGCTATAACACAAACCAGCACCACAGTTAATTAAAAAAAAAACCCATTAGGCTTATTATGCTGGAAATAAATGTAAGGTGTGTACCTGTTCTTGATTGTTGCATTGCTTTGTTCTTTTTATAGCCAACTAAACAGAGCAAATATGAAATAATTTTGATATTTTTTTATTATACTGATTGAAATATTATAAATAGCATAAGAATCCAACCTTCAATGACGTTGAGTGTTACAGTTACAACTGCTTTTCCATATTCATTTCTTGCGTAACATTTGTAGGTGTCCGCTTGATCCACACATACATTAGGCATCTATCAAGAAAAAACAAAATCTGCTTTTGCAAAACTATTTATAAAGTCTAAACAATGCTATAACAGATAGTGATTATACCTGCAGTTGATGTTCACCAGACATGGCATCAAATACAGGTTTGTGTCTTTCTTCTTCAATTTCCCCATTACTCCTCACCCAGGTGACAGCTGGGACTGGGTTTCCAGTAACAATTGCCCTGAAGATGGCCAGTTTTCCTTCAAAAATGGCATCAAAATTAGAAGGCTGTGCCATTATCTTGAGTTACTTCACGTCAACAAAACATATATGTGCAGGATCAGAGATATGTTATAATACCTTCTTGGATCGTGAGAGCGATAGGTTTGCGAGTGAAATCTGGAGTGGTCATGCCTTGGGGTAGTTCCTCCGTGTACTGGGTGATCATAACTCCAGGCACCCTTGATTTCTTCTTAATTTTTACTGTCATCACACAACAAAAATATGGTTGCATTATGCAAACATCAAGAAATGGTGAGTAAATGTAAATATTAGATCAGTTAAACTTGAGTCTTTTACAACCAGTTAGTGACTTACCCTGACCAGGAGCAATAGGTTGCTCATCCTTAGTTTTGTAAATCTTGAACATCTTGACACCAACTTTTCTACTTACACAAAGAAAAAAAATACAGTACACACTCTGAAAGCTGTTACTGTGTTAGCATGCAGCTTTATTTGTCTTTTATATTCAGGACGAGCTTATGAGATCCTGAGGCAGTACAGAACAAGTTAATGTAAAAAGCAGAATTGGCCTTAGCATTTTTGCTTATTTTTCAGCTGCTCTCTTCTTCAGGGGTCACCTCAGCGAACTAACTTGCACCAAGACTTGGCAATAGTTTTTTTTTTACGACAGATGCCCTTCCTGACAAATGGTAAATGAGGGTGGAGGTACGTGTGTGTGCTTCAACTTTCCCACTCACATTTTGATGTTGTTGGCCCCGGGGATCAAATTACTGGTAGTGACCCTCCCATCACAGGCTTGCCTTCTCTAACCTCTAGGTCACCACTCGCTTACCCTTGACATTGTTCATAAAACAACAAAACCCAAATTAAACAAATACCAGTAGTTCCTCACTTATCATGGGAGTTACGTTCCAGACACTCTCACGATAGGTGAAAATCTGCGTAGTAGGGACTTTATATTTATTTTAGTGTTTTTTATATATATAATATATATATATATATAATATATATATATATATATATATACACAGACAGCTTTGAAAAGAGAAAGGAGGGGGCAAGTGGGTGTCTGTCTTATACCTGAGTGAGCCACATTCGGCGGTGCTCAGCCACTCTCTCTTTTTTCATTTGTCACAGCAGAGAAAGAGAAAGGAGCAGGCAGGGAGTGGGTGTTCGTCTTTCTCCATTGCCTCTTCTGTGACAGACATCCTCAGAAAGAGAAAGGAGGGGGTGGGGAGTGGGTGTTTGTCTTTCCCCAGCACCTCTTCTGTGACAGACAACCTCAGAAAAAGAAAATATGGGGCGGGGAGTGGGTGTTTGTCTTTCCTCATCACCTCTTCTGTGACAGACAGCCTCAGAAAGAGAAAGGAGGGGGCGGGGAGTGGGTGTTTGTCTTTCACCATCGCCTCTTCTGTGACAGACAGCCTCAGAAATAGAAAGGAGGGGGCGGGTTCTGTCTTTCACCATCACCGATTGTGTGTTGTGTACAATATATTAAAAACCCGTGAAATAGTGAGTCCGTAAAAGTCAAACCGCGAAGTATCGAGAGACTACCATGTTATTATTATTGACATGTTCTTAGAAAATATAATAAAAAAGGAACATGCCATTCAGTTTCAGTGTTGTGAGGTTTGAGGGTTTGCTTGACCAATGTTGGTGATCATATGAACTCCATCTGCCTTACAAGAAATTTATGTCCTCCAGATGGTCGGAATCTGCACTGGGTGTCGATTATCATGTTGGAAACTTGAGGTTTAGGACAGGATGCATTTTTAGCCAAAGGGAGGTGGGAGCTCTTAACGTATTCATCACACTATTCCAAAAAATTTAAATAAAAGCTGATGGTTGGAGTTTTATTGTGAAAAACTAATGTGTTGCATGAATAGTACTGTACTGATTTGTGAGTTTATATTTATTGAGTATTCAATCAACCTTTATTTAGACAGGTAAATCCCATTGAGCCTCGAGGACTCATTTACAAGAGAGACCTGATTATTACATTGTAAGAAGGAAAATATATGGGTAGATAAAAAGTGACGTATCTCTCTGACTACAGATGTAAACTTGTTTTTATCCATCTTAGACGTTAGATGGCCCCACTTTGGTAGCCATTAATTATATAAATTAAACACACAATCCCTGTGTATTTAAAAGTTTGGGCTTTTTTCTAGTTTCAAAAAATATCCAACATTATATCAATCTCTGAAAGTGTCGACATATCAACTGACATGTCCTACCATCACATTAAAACACAATATTAAAAAAGTTCTTTAAGCTTCTCAGATTTTAGTTTTTACTTTTAAGATGTATTTTAAAAGGTTTAACTTTTTAAAGATTAATATCAAATGCATACACATGTACAAACATGTTAAAAACAACTTCCTGTATGATAATTTTTATAAGCAAACAGCACAGTTTTCACTATTTTGTATTTTTTTGGTCTGATCACATTAGCCAAATGACACAATTATTGTGGTTCACATGTATAATCAGAGTCAGAGTCAGAGAGATTTATTTGTCATACACACCACACGTGATACATGAGGTGGGGCAATGTAAATAGGGTCCCAGTTACATCCAACAAAAAATACAAATTGTAAAGAAGAACATTAGTAAGATCCAAGTCATGAACTAAGAATATACTACATTCACTAAACTAAGAATACACTAAGCACCAAAAGTCCAAAAAGAATGCGCCAAAAACAACAGTAGCACAAACATGAGTCTGTATGAGCAGATGAGGACTAATGAACACAGCAACATGAAATAATCAGCAGCATGAGATCAGCATCATGGATAGTCAGCAGCACATATCAACAACCAAGTGGCATTACAGTGACTTTCACATTTTTTTTCACAGTAATTTTCACAGTGATTTTTCCTGGTTAGAGATTCATGAGTCTAACAGCTTCAGGGTAGAAGCTGTTCCTCAGCCTGGTGGTTCTGCACTTAATGCTCCTCAGCCTTCTGCCTGAGAGAAGTGGGGCAAAAAGTGTGTGTGTGCTGGGTATGTGGGGTCCTTCATGATGCAGGCGGCACTCTTCCTGCATCTGGAGGTGTAGATGTCTGTGAAGGTGGGGCGTCTGACACCAACATAACTCTGTGCAGCCTTCACCACTCTCTGCAAAGCTTTTCTTTCTGCATCTGTGATGCTCTCCACTGCACACCTGTAGAAGGAGGTGAGGACTGAGCTTCCCAGACCAGCTTGTCTCAGCCGCCTGAGGAAGTAGAGTCTCTGATGAGCTTTCTTAATCAGGCTGTTGGTGTTGTTGCCCCAGCTGAGGTTGTTATTCAGGTGTACACCCAAGTACTTGTTGCTGGAGACCACTTCCGCCACAGAGCCTCCTGGGGGGTGGGGGGGTAGGTGCGTTTATTTTTTTTCTGAAATCCACGACCATCTCCTTCGTCTTATTCACATTGCTGTGAAGGTTGTTTGTCCTGCACCAGCACTCCAGGTGTTCCACCTCCTGCCTGTAGCTGGACTCATCATTGTTTTTGATGCATCAAACCACTGCTGTATGGTCTGCAAACTTTACAGTATGACAGCCTGGATGGGTAGGTGCACAGTCATACGTTAGCATAGTGAACAGGAGGGGACTCAACACACAGGCCTGGGGGGAGCCCGTGCTGAAGGTTATGGTGGAGGAGGAGAAGTCGTGGATCTTCAAAGATTGTGGTTTGTTGGTTAAGAAGTCTAGGACCCAGTTGCCGAGAGAGGAACTTAGTCCTAGTGTGAGTAGTTTGTCCATCAGAGTCTGGGGGATCATGGTCTTAAAGGCAGATGTGAAGTCCACAAAGAGCATACGAACGTAGGAGTCCTTCTGTTCTAAGTGGGTGAGAGCAGTGTGGACCACAGAGGAGATGGTGTCTTCTGTTGATCGATTCTTGCGATATGCATACTGGTGAGGGTCCTCGTTGATGTTGATGTTAGGTTTGATGTGGGTCATGACCAGTTTTTCAAAGCATTTAGTGACTATCGGGAAGAGGGCTACCGCCTGATAGTCATTCAGACCAGTCACTGTAAATTTTAAATATATTTTATATTTTATATAAATTTATTTATATTTTAAATAATAGCTACTTAAATTACAAATAAATATAAATAAAAAGGATTAAACATTATACTCACAGTTAATGAAGTTGGCAAAATTTTGTACACGTGCTGAGCTGCTGTGAAGCTAAATTTGTCTGAGAGAAGATCGCTTTGCCCAGGGTTTTATGAGTGAACTGATTTGTGAATGCCAGTTTTGTCACTTGCATTTCATAGGTATCTTTAATACAAGTGCATGCACTTTTTTTTTTTTGTGGGATTAAATGCTTCCCAATTATTTAAGATTTTGCCAAATACAGTGACTTTCAGAAGGAAAGTGTGAAAGGATTATTTTTGTGATAATTTGAATCAGTGTTTGTTTGTGAAGTGTGTATAATTTGTCCAGTTACAGTATTTAAAAAAAAAAAAAAAGCATTAGCATTTTACAGACTAAGACTATACGATTCCTCCAAAACATTGACAATTCTTTTTCCTTAGTGTTTCAACACAAAATTTTACAGATGAACTGACAAGGACAAAAGTGATTATTTTAATTTTATTATGCCCTGTAATTAAAATGTGTTTGTAATTAGCCTAATTGATAAAATATGTATTTATTTACAGAATCGGGAATAATATCAGATGAGAAAAAAACAAAAAAGGTTGGATATAAAATTTACATGCTAGGAGTTGCAAATCTTGCTTTTTTAAATGTACTTACTTTTTTTGTTTCGAGTTATCTGCCGTGCTCTTCTGTCTGTCAGCCAGGTTCCAGCTGATTCTTGAGTGTGGGCTCTTCGTTTTAAGAGGCCAGAATGGTTTTCATGACACTCAGAGCTACCCACCCCATTGCTTTTTGACTGCAGCTTGTGGAGATAGGTTTACTGGCATGATGTGTGTCCCTAACGATTGATAGGATCATGAAACGGAGTTCCCATGAAGTGCCATATGAGCCGCTTCGGCACAAATTTAAACATGTTCGCTGTGTGATGCCTATCCCATCATATAACAAGATATACTGTAAGTGTTAATTACGTTTTCACTTTTTATTTTTAAAATTCCTTCCAGCTCTTCGTAGTTTTGGAAATTTTAAATGATAAAAATAAAAAACAGATTCCAAATTCTAAGACTGATCTAAAGCAAACATCACTTTTAAATCTCTTTAGACTGAACCAGAGAAATTACATCCTGTCCTTGTCAGTCACATTTTTGTTCAAGGTGTTCCTTATTTCTTTGTAACATTAAACACGGATTATTCTCAGAGCCTAAAAACACACTCAGACTTGTAACTTAAGATGTGAACATAAATCACCAACATAAATTTTTACGAGGCTTAACAAGTGGTGTGAATTTTGAAGCTTGCTGAATCAATGGTTGCTACAGAGTTCATACTGATGTTCCTTTAAAAAACGTATTTAAAAAAATATATATTTTTAAGAATTGTGCACATTAGCTGAAAGAAATTGACATCAAAAAGCAGTTTAAATGTTTATTTACCAGTAACACAAACAAATTAACATCTATATGCCATACTGCACTGTCAATTATGAGTATCATTTTAGTTTCAAATTATAATGTATTTTGATTTAAATATTGTAATTTTGTGAAAATCACAAATCTAGTTGTAAATTGAGAATGTTACTTGATTTTAAACAATTGTAATTTCAAAAATGCAAAACACCTTCCATGCAAAAGCAGCAATACAAGAACAAAAAACAAAGTAACATCTAATGTGAAAAAGTTTTGATATAACTCACTTTAACACACACATTTTAACATTTTAAATCTGATTTACAACTAAGTGTGGCCTCTTTTTCCATCTGTGATGTCATTGCAAATCGTCCATTGGATGTTTAAGAAGAGGGTAAAACTTTTCCACATTTGGGAACCAAACTTGAAACCTGGGGAGCCTGACATGCTTGATCATCGTCTGCTGATGTGATGTGATTTATGACAAAATAAAGCTTTTAAAATTCTGTATTTAGATGTTTTGCTGCTTGATCATATTTCATGACAATCTTGTGTTATCCTGCTAACAGAGAATAAGACAAAATAACACCAAAAAAAAAAAAAACCCCTGCTTTGGCAAAAACATTGAAAATAATAAAGCAACTAGACATTTTTTCATACATGTAAAACTTAACTCAGGTTAAGGCACCAGTTTTTTGCACATTAAGACCTTTAAATGGCTTTTGAACTTCTATTGCATGAATTAGCACAAAACAAATCAAAAACAGGATATTCAGTTGGTTTTAATATAAGTTTTGAAAGTTGAAACTTATACAGCACAGATGGCAGAGGCTGTAGAACAAATATTTAACATTACATGTTTGCACCAATTATTAGTATTGCATTCCACAAATGTTAGGTTTTGCTCAGCTTGCTCAGCTCTAAAATACACGGTTGGTGGAGTCCCAACATCCGGGATTTTGCTACCATCTTATGTGATCATTTACTCTGCAAAGACAAACAGTGACTATTAGACCCACATAACACACTTCAAAACTCAGGTGCATTCTGGGAAAGACATACCTCTGACTGTTAGTTTGGTTGAACTCTCATCCCTTCCCAAGGTGTTTTCTGCAATAACCTTGTATTCCCCAGTATCTTTAGATCCAACCCTCAAAATGAGCAGAGAACAGACTCCGCAGGTGTTGGAGATGAAGTAGTTGGTGTTGGTGTTCAGACTGATGTTGTTCCGGAGCCATGTCACGTGAGGTGTTGGTTCTCCCTTTACAGCACAAGTCATGTAGCATTCATATCCTTGAGGAGCGGTGTGCGTTTTCAGTGGAACAAAGAATTTGGGAGGACACTGTAGATCGCAGGCTTTCGACTCTGGCATTATCAGAGTGAATTTTTCTGTAAGAAATATATGTATTGCAACAATATCAGTGGCTAGAATGTTTTAAAGACAATATTTATACAGTTATTCAATTGCAGAGTGTGAATGCTTGGAACTTGAAGCCCGTCATTCTTTATACACTTCACTATCTTCACAGTGGTGGAGGTGCACTTTACACTTATGTGGTTCAAATGAGTATTACAAAAAGATATCTTCATCGGTTTTCAAAGCTGACAGACTAGGTTTTTAGGGCATTTTAATTTTTAAAATTTCTTTCGGCTGTTCCCTTCCTCAGGGGTCACCACAGCGAACTAACTCACATGAAGACTTGACAATTGTTTGTACACCAGATGCCCTTCCTGACATGACCACAGATCACCGAGCTACCACAACATGGACCAGAGAGCTGCCATCTAGGGTGCAGATGGTGCGGGGTTAAGGGCCTTGCTCAAGGTGCCATATATTTTAAAGAAAGTAAATTGACAAAGGGACTGGAAGGTGCGAAGGCTTACATGTCAAACCATTGTGAAATAAACCATTTATTATTAATATTTTTTTAAATTAAACATAGTTGAAGTTTGTGGAGTTTAAAAGCCCTGCATTTTGGAGATACAGTGATTTTATTAATTATTGTTGGAATTGGTTGCTATTGTCATAAAAAAAACAATTTATTTTAAAATGTCATAGGTCGAGATGGTGTAGAGGCAGCGGAGCTGACTCAGGACCCGAAAGTCCCAGGTTCGATCCCCAGTCACTGCACATCTCATGCTGTCTCTGAGCAGCACATCTTATCCCCAAAATGTTACCCAGGTGCTTTCAATAGCTGCCCACTGCTCCGCCTGGTGGTGGATGGGTTAAATGCAGAGAGCCAATTTTGCCGTTGTACTGGAACATACAATGATGACAATACATAACACATTTGTGAATGTTTGCTTAGCATAGACCATGCATTTCATGTTGCTGGTGCTGAGGCTGCAAAATGTATCATTTTGTCTGAATGCACGTCACGATACCAGCATTTATGTACATTGTTTATGCTGAGCACAAAAAGATTTTGTGTAGTAACCCAAGCATTGTCTGGTAAGAAAACAACAACTACACAAACATGCCATAAAAAATGTAGAAGTTAGCTAATAAAGCTTTTTTTTTTTTTACATATTTGACATGTTTGAGACATATATACTTTTTTAAACCTATAAAAACAGTAAGGGCCCTTATGTGGCTAGCCATTAGCTTAATCTGATGAAGAAATATGCCCTTCCTCCATTTTGACAGAACATCACATTAAAAATGACCTTTAAAGGCAGTGTCAGAATTTTAAAAAATGCTGTTTTTCTACACATACACACTCACACACAGTCAAATGTTTAGTAAAAACATGAAAATGGCCACCAGTTTTGAATACCTTTTTTGGCAGGAATCAGCCACTTGGTTGATTCTGAAGGTTTGGAGCAGCCCATGTCGTTTTTTGCATAAACTCTGAACTGGTATTCTCGGCCCGGCATGATGTTGCAGGCCGTGAATCTATTGTTGAAGATTCGATCTCCAATAGTGTGCCAGATTCTTTTGACTGAGTCACGCTTAGTCACCAGGTAGTGTAGCCTGTCATCTCGTTTCTCATCAGGAGACGGGGTCCATGAAATGGTCACGGTGCCAGGCACATTTTCATCCAGCTCCACGGGACCAGATGGCTTTGGCTCATCTGGAGGGAAAATGAAAATTCATTTTCAACCAGGAGCCAAGTTGAAACAGTAAAAGAGCAGAGTGCTGCTGTATATGCAAGTCACCTGTGACTCGAATTTCAACGCTGAATGTTTCTTGGCCTACGATGTTTTTGATAACGATGGTATAAATTCCAGTATCTGAGCGCTCAGCTGCAGGAATCAGAAGCTGAGATGTACGGTCAGCGTTGCTGATGGTAACCTTTTTAGACACAGGCACTCCATCCTTCAGCCAAATTACATCTGGCCAAGGTGATGCCTAAAACAAACAAACCAACAACAAAAAAAAAACTTTAAAAAAAAATTATTTTTAACATATATGTCATAAAAGAAAAGCCATGAATATCATTAATATAAACCATTTCTTATTTACCTCAAAGTTAATGTTGAATCGTGCTGAATTTCCTGCTCTTACAATCATAAAACTCTTGATTTTGGCATCTGTGAACCGTGGCCTCACTATGTAAACAGAAAGTTTATAGTTTTATTGTTTGTGACAATAACAAACAAACGAAAAAAAACCCCCAAAAAACTCAAAGTGTCTCTGTTGCCATAATACAAGTTCTAGATTAAAGTAAACATTCAAATATTATTATGCTCAACGGCAGCTGTTTGATGTTTTCACTAATTATTATTATTATTATTATTATTATTATTATTATTATTATTATTATTATTATTCATGCTTCACCCTATTTGTGATGAAATCTGTTGTTTTCAGACCTTTTATTATTAGGCTAATGTTCATCAGCAGTTCTCAGGCTTTGTTTTCTGGATAGGGTTTTGGAGAACTGTGCACAAGAGTGTCTGGGTTTCTTAAATACCAACTATCTGGATCTTATTGCTGTTTTTGTTTTGCATTTTATTGTTAGATGTAACTGGAACCCTGTGTACATATTTTCATTCCAACACATGTACCACATGTGGTGCGTATGACAATAAAGAAACTCTGACTCTGAATCATCCACAAAGTGAAAGTCATCAATGGGTGTTACTTTACAAAAAGTCTAGTACAGTTCTCTTTAATAGTAAACTAAACTAGAATTGGGCATCTTTTCCCACAATTCTGCACCCAATGTATGTGGTTAAGGGTGTTTTTAGTCCTTTTTGTCACAATATTAGATTTAACAGCTAGATTTGAGCGCAAATTTACTTACCAGGAGGTGGCGTGGCAAGAATGTAATTGTCTAGCTCCTGAGGCTCCCCCTCTCCTCCATCATTAATAGCAATGACTCTCACCCAGTACATGGCCATTGACTTCATGCCCTTTACTGTATATGAAGTCATGGTTGTTGCGTTTGAATTGCAGCGATCCCACTCTGTATTTTCTGCTGGTCTGATCTCCACAAAATATCCCTTTGCTTCATCCGCAACCTCCTTAATGTCCTTAGGTGCAGTCCAAGACAGGGACAGGGTTGTGTAGGATGAATCTGTCACTTTCAAGTCAAGGACTTTACCAGGAGGCTCTGTAACACAAAATTCAGTGTCAGCTTTTATATTTCACACTAATACCTCTCACAATTAAAAAAATGACAGCCATGTCATAATGTTTTTAAAAATCCACCTACTTTTAGGATCCCTGGCAAACACAAACTCAGATGGTGAACTAAATTCACCAGCTCCAGAGTCGTTGATTGCAGCCACACGGAACTCGTACTCCATGCCCTCAACCACATCTTTAACTGCAAATCCTTTACCTGGACAGCAGGAATGTGAATATGTGGTTATTTTATTATAGCAGCAATTGTTTTAACACTTATAAAGCAAAATGGCAGATACATAATGGAATAACCTTTGATTATTTCATTTGGTGGGTGGACTAAGCCCCAGAGATTGCTGCCTTTCTTGCGTTTCTCAAGGTTGTATCCCAGAATACTTGTTCCTCCAGTGTCAGCAGGAGGAGACCAGGTGAGACTGATGCAGTCCTTGAAGGCAGTGACAACTTTTGGTGCTGATGGTGGTCCAGGGTATGCTGTACACACAAAATAAAACAGAAAATAACCCCACTGCAAAAAGAAATTAAAATCTCTTCCGTTTTGACCTTATTAAAACATATTTTATGTATAACTAATGTTCTCTATTAGGTTAAGTTGGAGAATATGGGCTGCTGAAGTAAGTATACAGTAGTTTGTTTATGGGGTCACCAACACGGTGTCCACGGGCACCTGGTCGCCCGCAGGGACCACTTGAGTCACCTGTGGGACATGCTCTAAAAATAGCACTCATCATCAAGAAGCACCGCCTAAAAATTAGTCATTAATTATGTTTTGTTTTTTAATTAAGTAATTACATTTGCATGGATGTCGATATGAAATGAAAATAATTAATGAAAACTTTTGGAATAAAATGTTTCACTTATACAGTTTAGCAACCTTGTCTGGAGTCAAAACGTTCTGATTGATGCAGAGATGCACAGAGGTCTCTGTGAGCGGCACAGCTACAAACTGTTTTGACCTCGCTGATTAGAGGAGAAAGTGGCAGAAGAAAACATATTATTTTCACAGTAATTGGGAAAAAGAGTTTTTTTTTAACAGTTATGAAAGACAAATTGCATTCCATTGCACAATTACAACTGGTCCAAAATGCTGCAGCCCTATTTTTAACCGGTACATGCAAAAGAGAGCACATTGCACCAGTTTTGGCCTCCCTGCATTGGCTCCCGGTTCACTTTCAAATTCAGAAATTCAGAATTCAAAATCCTTCTTTATGTTTTCAAATCTCTGAACAGCTCTGCCACCTCTTATCTCACTGATCTGCTGCAGCCATATGTCCCACAGCTCTGTCTGAGGTCAGTAGATCAGATGCTTCTATTGGTTCCAGGAACTCGTCTTAAGCTCAGAGGTGACAGGGCTTTCTCTGTTGCAGGTCCAAAACTGTGGAATGACTTACCACTACATGTCAGGCAGTCCCCCTCTCTCACTGTTTGTAAGTCTTGCTTAAAAAACCACTTTTATTCCCTGACTTGACACAGTGTGATTTGTTTTTAACCTGTCTTTATTCTACAATGTTAGCCATTTAGTTATTATCTTCTTCTAGTCTGATCTATGTATTTTTTTACTGTGTGCTTTGCTTGTTTATTTCTGATGTACAGCACTTTGGTTGGCCTTGTTGCTGTTTTAAGTGCTTTATAAATAAAGTGTTATGGTATGGTATGGTATGGTTTGGTTTGGTATGGTATGGTACATGTGCATGTCTCATTTGTGGTGCGACTGTGACAACATCAAAATGCCACAGTGTGGAGCGACACTTCACCAGCTAACACATTAGCGTCAGTGTTTCCTCTGCCATTATACAAGGAGGGCGCCCCACCCTGTCAACAGAACTCAGTGCGCTGCTTACCGTGAGGTGGCGCTCCTTCTCCCTCACGCTGAACCATTTCTTTATGACTTATATGTTTGTATATGGGGTATGACTTGTTGGGGTGGATATCATAAAATCAGAACATTTATATTTTTCATATAAATCCATTTGTCGTAAAATATTTTTATTTTCCCATCTACTAATTTGTGGTTTGTGAACATCTCAACTGATTAATTCAACTTCAAGCTGTAATTTTAATGTTGTCCAGGATCTTATGGGAGAGTGTTAATTTTAAGGTGCCTGGATAACTGTTTGTCCTGAGCTTACCTTTTGTTCCAGCTTGTATGTCCTCTGTTTCCATCAGCTCACTGATGCCTATTTCAGTTTCCACTCTGATGCGATAGCAGTATCTTCTACCATGATCCACATCACTGTCTCTGTATTTGGCCTCTGGACCAATTGGCCCCACCTTCTTCCAGGTGTTACGTCCAATTTGTTGTCTTTCAAGAATATAGTTTTGGATCTTGCAGCCACCATTGTCTTTTGGAGGTCTCCACTTGAATTCAATTGCAGAGGAGCCGGCTTCAACAATCTCAAGAGGTCCCATTGGAGGTGTTGGCTTATCTGTCATAAAATAACGTGGCACAAAGAACAATAATTCAACTGCTCAACACATCTTTTCCTTTAGTTTTATTTTAATGGTTAAAAAGATACGCATAGTAGAAATGCACAAGTTTCTTTAGAATATTTCCAGTACATACCCAGTACATTGAGCTGGCTGATGGCCTCAACTGTGCCATATTCATTTTTGAGTTTGATCTTAATTTCACCGCTGTCTTTACGCTGCAGTTTCAATGTAAGCAAACGACTGCTTCCCTCGGATGTCTCAATCTTGATGTTGCCTTCTTCTGAAAGTTCTTCACCCTCACGGTACCACTGAACTTTTATAGGTTCTCGTCCAATGAAGGACAAATTGAAAGTAGCCTTATGTCCCTTTTTCACAGTTACAGGTGTCTTAAATGCTTCTAGCTCCTCAGCATTAAATCTGGGTGGATCTGAAATCACCAAAATACAGAAACAAATTTAAGGTTTATGTTACAAATTACTGTTGGTTGCCAAAAAGTGAAGACTGGTATTCATAAAAATGCATCCTCGTTGTGTCCTTCAGTCACTATAGTAATTTACAAAAAAATGTTTTTGGGGCATTTATTTTTTACCCTCAGCAACTATTTCAGCCTCCGTCTTGCGCCCATCTGCTTCAAATTTATATTTTCCAGCATTTTCTTCTGTAACTTTGACAATTTGCAGCCGGTGGAAACATCCCTCTTTTGAAATAGTTAGGTTATCAGATGATTGAATCTGGGGGGAAAAGCAAACAACAAAACAAAAACACGACCGTGCTTTACTGCTTCAGTAAAGATCTAGCAAATACATAAGATTAGAAGAGTTCTTACTTCGGCTCCATCTTTGTACCAGATTCCTGCACAGTCCTCGCTGCTTACTTTACACTCCAGCACTGCTGCTTCTCCAATAATGGCTTTGCAGTCGGAAAGGCCAGCTTGAAAGTGAACTCCGGGTTCTGAGAGTTTAACAAACAAGTCAGTAAAATGATTCCCCTCATCCCAATCCACTCCAGCTTTGTCCAAATAGATTTTTTTTAAATTGGGAACTGACAATCACATTAAACACGTTTTATGTCAATTATTTGCAGTTCATGTCTACATTTGTGTGATGCCATAGAAAATATATGTGAAGATGGTGTATTGTTCAAGTTAAAAAGTTATAAGAAAGCATTTAGCCTTTTTGTGCACTTCATACATTTATACTTCATTATTAAGATTCAGCTTAAAATCCTGTCTTTAGAAGGTTTCCTTCAATTTAGCAATCCTGAACTCTTCATAATGCTCAAAGAAAAGTCTCCGGTGGAATTCATTTGCCTCCTTTCACTTAGTCTTGACTGAAAGACAGGCTATTAAGAAATGAAACCTCCCTCTCAGTGCTGGCAGCTCCTTGGCCATCTGAAGAATTTATTGCTTTGTCAGACATGAATTCAGTCTTCAGTGAAATTACAGACGAAAAAGGTTTAGAGTACAGAGATCCTGCAAGGTCAACTTAAGCTGTCCTCCATCTCCCAGGTCTGAGTGCATATAACGTTGAAGCAGAAGTGTTTCTGTTGCAGGATTAGGAGCATAATTTCATCCGCTGCATATAAATAATTCACCTCAATGCACCGATTCATCCTGAATTAATGCTTAAAACAAGAAGCAGTGATGTTAACACAGATGCGCACAAAGCACAGATGGATTTGAGCATTGCAAACACAAAACACATAGGTTGACACATATAACTTTATGCTGATGTCCAATCTGTAGGTCAAAGAAATTATTTTAAACAACAAAGGTGACTGCTATTAACCAACATCACTCATAGATATATAATCAAATGTTATTAAGAATCTCTCTCACACATTCAGGGTTCAATCTAAACAAAACTTTGGCAGGAAGAGACAAATGTGTGGTCACACGTCTAATCACTGGAAGAAGCATACTTATCAAATGACTTTATGTAGTGATGACGTCTGCCATGCAGCAGTTTTTGTCCTGAAGTCTTACCACTAACTGTCTGCCTGCTCTGATCAACAGGCCTGGCCATGCATGGCCTGAACATTTGTCAGCTGCTGCTGGCTCACCTCCATCACCTTCTCTCACCACTTGTAGGAGATTCATGACAGCATGCTGCTGGCACAGAGCCAGTCATCCCTGGCTTTACTCTTGATACTGTTTTCTTTGATTTTTTTTTTTTTCTTCCAGTTTTAGAGGAAATCACCACAAATTTCATAAATCCAGTGCTGTTATAAAGAATATCAAAAAACAACAACACACAAACAAACATAAAAATCAGTAAGGATGGCAATTTAAAATGTCAACATTAAATACGAATGAACATATTTGTAGAAAGATAACACACAGCTTACATTTGTTCTGTATGTCTTGCTGCGTCAGATCTATTTGTTTTAGGTTTTCAACTACACCGAATGGCTCAAGGTGCTTCTGTTGGCTTTTCACTTTTTCCATTTACAGTCAATGTTACTAATCCACACAGGAAATCGATCAAAAACCTCATAGTCATTTAAAGAAAGAAACATGTCTATAAACATAAAAGAACAATTATTATGCTCAAAACACAAACATATTTTGTTTATTGTCAGAGAGAAGGAAAGACCTTTTCAAATAGCTTATACTGTCACTTATTGTGTCCTGATGGCATAAAAACAGACATGATAAATTTAGCATTTAAGTTTGTCTTTATTTCAATCCGCTATGTCAAAGTTAATAGATAATAAAACAGTAATATGAAAAAAAAATTCATAACAAGACTTGGATACAAAATGATCTAAGTGTGAAATAATTAAAATAGGAAACGCGTTAGGTAAAAATCTGATTTAACTTTGGCAATAAACTTCATATAACTGTCGGTGAAAAACTTCATTTTTATTTTTGCATAATTTAATTCTATCAGCCATTTTTCATATGTTACATCCTTATTGCATGTTCTGATAGTCTGATCATAAACAGAAAATATCTAAACTTTACTCAGTTTTCATTTCTTTACTTCTTGAATCAGTTTTTGGGGATAAAGGTGTCTCCCTGACAGTGACTGTACAGGTTGTTATCATCTGAACCTCTAAAGAAACATGAATAAAAACTATTTTTAATATCCTAATAAATATGGCAACACATCCAGTATCACATAAAGAATTGATGACTTACCTATAACTGTGTCAGGAATCAATGGACCAGCCCTGATTCGTTTTTTCTGTTTTCCTCCTTTTCCTCCTTCTTCTCCATCTCCTTCATCTTCTCCTGCTTCATTCCCTCTTTCTCCTCTCATACCTCCTTCTCTTCCCTCCCCCTCTTCCCCCTCCCCCTCACTATCTTCATCAGAATCCTCAAACGAGTCTTCATCATCTTCCTCTAAAAACTCTTCCAAATCTTTACCCTCAACACCTGCAGCTGTAGCCCCTGATGTGACACCTTTCACTGCACCGTTAGCTCCTGCTGCAGCACCACCGACACCAGCAGCTCCACCAACACGACCAGCGCCTGCAGTCCCACTGACACCAGAAGCTCCAGCAGTTCCACCCACACCAGTAGCACCAGCAGCACCACTGGCAGCTCCAGCAGCACCCCCTGCACCAGCCATGCCACCTGCACCAGCTGCACCAGTGGCAGCCCCAGCAGCTCCAGCAGCACCCCCTGCACCACCCATGCCACCTGCACCAGCTGCACCAGCGGCAGCTCCAGCAGCACCCCCTGCACCAGCCATGCCACCTGCACCAGCAGCACCACCTGAACCGACAGCTACACCATCTGCAATGGCTGCGGCACCACCAGCTCCAGCACCAGTTCCAATGCCATCACCAGCAAAGCCAGCTCCTCCGGCACCACTGGTAGATGATCCTGCCCCACTACCAGCACCATCAGCACCATCAGCACTAGCTCCTTTTTTCTTAGTTTTTCTTGCAGTTCCATCCTTTCTAGCTGCAGCCCTCTTGGACTTTGCAGCAGCTTTTGCCGCCTCCTTTGCTGCAGCTTTGGCCTCAGCCTCTGCTTTTTTAGCTGCTTCCTTCTCAGCTCGGGCAGCTGCTTCTGCAGCTTCTTTCTCTGCTTGAGCTTTTTTTGCTAGTTCCATTTTTTCTTCCATTTCTTTCTGATATCTTTCATGCTGTTCCTTAGCTATTCTTAACAGCTCTTCATCATCGCCTGCACCCGCAATGGTAGTTTTGCGTTCTCCCTTTTTGGCCTTTTTGGAAGAGTCTTTGTTAGCTATGAAAGGAAAAGAATGTGACATTAATTCAAACATTACTTTTTCTATTATTTACATTAAAAAAACCTCTACAAAAATAAAGGTTTGTCACCTTCAACAATAAGCCAGGCATTGCAAGACTTAATTCCTGCCACAGCAGCGTAGATCCCAGCGTCTAAAGGCTTGCAGTCTTTCACCAGCAGCTTGTGGATTAGCTTATCTTCGGATACAATTATCTCATGTTTCTCACTGTTGGAGAGCAGAGTGCTCTTGCCGTACCATTTGAGCTCAGCTATTGGTGCAGTTAGGACACACTGAAAGAGGGCATCCTCCCTTTCTTCTGCTTTGACCTCTTTTATTTTGACAGCAAAGTCAACTTCAGGAACTGCAGGATTTAATAAAAACAAATCAACAATACATTTAATGTCTTCCATCAACTTTGTTTATTTACTTTTAGTGGTTCCAATTTTATATTTTTTGTTATAGCTATTCAGTTTCATGGTGCAAGTTTAATTAATAAAAGACTGTATTTTAGCCTGCAGTATACAGTATGCACGATAAGCATAAACTCTTGAAGTGGTTTATTTAAATGTAATATGCTTCCAAAGACATACCTTTAAAATCTGTGGAGAATACATTGACCCCCTCAACATCCACTGAATATAGCCCTGCATCTTCCTTATTCAGGTTTTTAATTGTGAATATATACTTTTTGCCGACTTGTTTTAAACTATGCCTCATTCCTTCACCATCTTCTTTAGTGAACGGAACCATAACACCATCCTATATTGGAACATATAAACATTTTTTTTTATACAGAATAAACAAATATCAATGAACTATAACACAAACAGTATGTTTCACCTTGTACAAGTACATTTTGCTGCCAGAATCCAAAAGATCCATATCCAACTCAATTGTTGCACAGTCATCACCTTTGACCTCAATAGGTTTTAGTGTCCTGATATGTGTGATAAACTGTGAAGAAAACAAATGTCTTAATATACAATGCATAATAAAGCTGTTTGACAAAATGACAATAAACACAAACTGTGTTTTAGAGAAAGCTAGCTCAACGAAACGTGTTTTTGCTGTAAGCCACGTACCTGTGCAATCTCCTCTTCTCGCTCTCTTTTCATTTCTGTAAGTTTTTTCAGCATCCCGCGGAAGTCTGTGACGCCGTACTCGGCACAGATGCTCTCGTAATCTTTCTTGTCGGCACTGAGCAGGATTTCCCAGACTTTTTCATTTGGTTCCATTGGCTTTTGCTCCCGTGTTCCATCTGAATTACTGTAAAGCAGAAAAACTGTGAAGCTTCATTGCAACAGTTGTTTTTATACCACTACTAACACTTTACCAGGGGTCTGCAACCTTTGGCTCTGAGGCCACATGTGGCTCTTTAGTCCCTTATCTGTGGCTCTGTGAAGCTTTGACCAAAATTTACAGGAAATTTAATTGCTCTGGTTTTTATACCCACCACAAAAAGGGGTAGTTTTGGCATTAAAAAAAAAATCAAATTTCTGCAAATGTTTAAGCAACACTACTATTTTTTTGTTGTATTACTTCAAAGTTAGATACTTGATTTCTCCTTCCGCCACACAGGCCTGCAGAGTTCAATGTTTTCATTTTCATCTAAAATGTAGAAGTTTTTACTTCTTTACATCATAGTCATTTTTTTGGTCTCAAAATGTAAAAATGTCAGTAAATGTTGAAATTCATTATTGATTATTAGTTTTGAAATATCACCCCCATCGGCCAGAAAAGCCCCCTTCAGCTTGCTCAAAGTGGCCCATGGGCCACCAGTTGATCATCACAGTTGTAGCAGATTTTGTGGCTTTGAGTGAAGGGGCAGAAATGGCTCTTTGATCAAAAAAGTTGCAGACCCCTGCACTATATGAATCTCTGTCTTAAAAATAAGTTTTGGTTGTTTTTTTTTTTGCTTGAAAATTTGGGAGAATAAAAATAAATATTCACCGTTTTTTAAGCTTCTTTCTTAGGTCGGTTGGATCTGAGAACACACAAAATATTCTGTTTTTTAATTTTGAGTATTTGACAAAAAGATTTTGTTTCTCATTGTTCTTTTTTTTTGTTTTAACAAAAGCAAACAAAAAAACCCAGCAATGATGTAAACGTGATGTTTAAACCTCACCTTCAACTTGTAATTTTTGAAGTTCCTTTGTTCTGGAAAATCCCACTGTGAACAAACAAAGTAATCTTGTTACTCAATATCGTTTTGTACAGTTTTGAGACATAGATTTAAAAAATGATATAAATCCTACTCTCAATAACATTCAGGACAACGGTGCAAATTGCTCTGCCATATTCGTTTGTTGCATAACACTTGTATGTGTCGGCATCTTCTGGAGCCACCTTAGGGAACTGATGAAATGCAAACAGAATTAAAGTTAATTTACTGTTTTTTTAAATTATATACAGTATATACATAGTGTTTTAATGCTGCTTCTTAAAGCCTTGGATTTACTACAAGATGCTATAGTTGTTACCTCCAGGGTGTGCTCATCACTTTCTTCATTATATTTTTGCAAGCACACATCAGGATGGAAAAATATTTCTCCGTTTGCTCTGCTCCATGTCATGGTAGGTGTTGGACTGCCTGCCACAATGGCTTTAAATACTGCAGTTTTACCTGAAACAGCAATATCCTCGTTAATATCAAACTGCTGATATTTTTAACAGACACTGGTGTTGTCAGAGCACCATACATTTTTGTGCTGCTCATGAAAAACAAAACACTTTGTCACATTATATCACTAGATTCCAAGTTCAGAACTAGTCGAAGCACTAAAGTAAAACATGACATAAAATATTATTTCTGTCCTAAAAAGGCTTGCAGGGTCCATCAAGATTAAAAAAGAAAAAAAGAAAAAAAGAAACACTTGAGCATCATTCTCTTTTTGAGAGTCTTAATAATTTATAGTTCATTCTTTAGATGAAATGCTACAAAATTTGTAGTCTCCAAAAGAGACGCAAAATAAAAACAGAAAACAGGAGAAATGAAATATACAGAAGAACAGATCACACTCAAGAGAGAACATCAAAATGCTTCAGTTTTTTGGTGTGTGTTTGAGTAGTTGTTTCTGTATATAAAGATTAAATGAAGCTACAACCTTCTGTAATTTGTACCAACCTACTTTTGTTTTTCCTCTAACCAATTAACTATTTATACTTTTATCTTTGTGTGGTGATAGATTCATTTTTACTAATTTATTTAATCACAAACGTGAGATTATTTTGCTGTTTTCACTGTTTGTGTTTTTGTTTATCCTCATGGCAGGCCATAAGACAAAAATAACGATGTAGGTGACATTGAACAATTCAAATTTAAAACGCCTTTGTGACACAAAGCACAACTTTCACTGGACAGCATTTAAATGATGTGTTTGTTTACATGCACCATTTTTTCCCTTTCTTCCTGTAGATAAGGTACTGTATAGCACATGAGTATGTAATGAACTAGGCCTCTGAGTCACTGTTTTTAAACCTTGCAGACAGTAAATAACTTCAACTGGCACCTGCGTTGTCTCACCTCGTCATAATATTTCTCTGTCTGTACTAACCGTTCGTAAACATTCCTGCTGTATCTTGACTTCTAGTGACCCTCTTGACATCACTAGAACCACCCCCCTGCTGGTTGTTTCAACCAATCAGGAAGTACCACGTCACAGGAAGTGTATACCCCTTTAAAAGAAACACTTCGTGGAACTATTCAGTTCGGTCCTGGAACTCAGTTGGGTCCTGAAGTGCAGTCCTGGAACTCAGTTGGAGTCTTCACGAGTCTTAGTCTCTTCTAAGTCTTGCTGGAACTTTCGGTCAGAGATGAGACTCACTTAAGCAGCGGATGGATGAGACCATGTGCCAAGGGGTCCCTCAATTTAGCGGAGTCACAGCTTGCATCGCTGTGCACTCAACCCCAGCAGTAAATGCTCCACTTATAAGGAAGCTTATTCGGTGGAACCGAGTACTTCGCATTTATTCTGATGACTCCAAATACCATTTTGAGAAAGACCTTTCAGGTATTTTTATTTTTTTTAAGATGTAGTGAAGATACATTATAAAACAAACCATGATGGATTTGAACTCACTGGTTATGACACGAATGCCTCAACCCAAACTGAGATGTTCTGGTGACAAAATTTAAATTTACATAAAGCAAAAGCATAATTTAGTGGCTGGTTAATGAAAGACAAGCCTATCATATTCTCTAAGTACAAAACTGTTTTGTTTCTTATAGTTTCTATTTAATATCTTAGTCTAGACTGTGATTATTAAACACATAAATAAAATAAAAAATGAAAAAAAAAAAACAGAGGACTATATAAAGATATAAACCCATGTTTAAGTTATCTAACAAGTGGCAGTGAGACAGTGTAACTGCAACTTGACCATACATGCTGGGTACTTTTAGAACAAGGAACTTTTTTAAAGAATAAAAATGTTTGTTTGGGATATTGAACATAAAGTAGAGTTCCTGTAGGACGGAGCTAATCATCATGTCTCACTACAGCACATTTATCAGAGCAGCAAGTAGTAAACAAGCCACACTTTTCCATCTACCACCAGGCTGATGATACGGGAGCCTCCCATCATGCACGAAAATACTCAGACAGTTATTACCCACAATTTGTCAGATTACTGAACTATTGATAATAATACAGAACTATTGACAATAACATTGCACTAAGCCACATCTGTGACACCTAATATGTTTATTGTTGCTGCATTATGTGGCTGTATCATGTATGTCACTACCTTACCATCATAATTCATCTCAATGTTACTCACTACCTGTGCAAAAACCCGTCACACAACCTGTGTACTTTATGATAGTTGTGTGCAAAATGCATTTAAGCTTATATTACTACCTATGAAATTCTTATTGATACAAATTCATCCTACTTGCACCATTATATTCTACCATGTTGTTCTTTACTATATTTCTCTTGGACCTTGCAAATATTATATATTTTTTTTCACTTTTTGGTACTTCGTTTTGTTATTGCATGCTATAGTACTTCTTGTTTGTTTGTTTTTAGTGAGTTGAACCAGTTCTCCTCATCCTGACCATTTCATTGCATTGTTGACCTTGTGTTAACATGCAAATGACAAATAAATAACATAACACTGGGAAAAGTGACATGCACTAAAGCTAGTCACATAAACTGGTAGTGGGACACTTTCCCAAATGACTGTGCTGAGGTGGTGTCTTAAATGTAACCACCATGAACATTTAAGATATTTAATAGTATGAGTTTAGCGTTAAAAAGAGAAAAGATTATGTGACATGGAGGAAGTGACTGCAGTCAAAACACAGCTTAAGAAAAAGATACACTGTACTCTGACAGTTACTTTGACCATATTTTTTATTCTGAAAATGTACAGTTTACACATTATAATTCACCAGTTATTTAATGCATCCTTTTGAAACACAGGCAACTGTTTATTTACATTTCTGTGACAACCAGCAGAAACTTACCCTCCTGAATAGTAAGAGCGATGGGTTTTCTGGTGAAATCTGGAGTCGTCTTTCCCTCTGGAAGTTCCTCCTTAAACTGCGTTATCATAACACCAGGCACTTTTGATTTCTTCCTGATGCCTAAGTGAATCAAAACAAATGAATAATTAGAGCTGCATATTTCCTGGAGACCAGGAAAAGGCAAAACTGATGAGCAAAATCTAGAATAAGCAAATGTGAGTAGGCATTTTAACAAATGCAGGTGTTTATTTAGATATTATGAATGCTTAAAAGATGAATAATTGCAGGATTTTCATGAGCTCATGGTTAAAGTGTTAAATAAAGCTAAATTCAGATGTACTTAAAAAAATAAAAACACAATACCCAGTTATAACCATTAAATGCTGGCTCTGGTAAATATAAGATGCTTATTTGTAAAAGAAGCAACATCCTAATGTGAAAATGCCACTCCGTCAAATCAAACTGTGACCCATACATATTATAACTATCAAAATTAGATTTTACAGGTAATTCAGCATATTTGTATTAGCTGCAAGGGCACATTGTGAAACGAAGCGATTTTTGTCTCAGCTGGATTGGAGACTGTTTGACCCTGATGGTAGTTAGCTGAACTTGCTCACACAGTTTTACTTTCTTTCTTTCTTTTACAAGAACAACATATTTAAGCTGAGGGATTTGCATTCCCACTTACTTTCCTGTCCTCTGATCTTTTATTGGCTTGTTTGTTTTTTTATTATCATTGATTTATTTTTATTTATCCTTATAAAGGTAGTCTCATTGAGTCATGAGAACTCATTTTCAAGAGAGACTTGTTTTTGGGAGCAGATAGTGGGAGTTAAGGGCCTTGCTCAAGGGAACAGAGTGGGACAACTAAAGGTGGAGGCAGGTGTGGGTGTTTCACCTTTTCCACCCACATTTTGATGTCAGTCCGGGGAGTTGAACCTCCGACTTTCCGATCACAGGCCCATCTTCTCTAGTCTCTGCACCACCACTCCCTTTTTAGATAGATTAATATTAATTTATGGCCCCAATATCAACCATAAACAATTTTTTAATATATATTTTTAATTTCTTTATCAACGTTACCAACTAAGGTATGCCAAAAGGTGTATCGTTTGTTTACATTGAGAGAAATAACTGAAGTGTTTGACTTCTGAATGTAAAAAAAAATTCGGTATGTTTTTTGAGGTGTAACATTGTTCTAAAGGGACACTTAAATAAATCTAATTTATCAAAGAGTTTAAATAGTAATTTTAGCTGATTATTTGTGCCCCCCTAAAGTTTTGAAACAAAATCACCTCCTCAGCAATCTTCTAAGGCTCTTAGACATATGCATCAAACTCAAGGACCGGGGGCCAAATGTGGCCCTTGTTGACATCTTATCTGGCGCCCAAGATGTTCTTTTAAATGTAAAATATTTTTATCACTTGAATTTTTTCAGTAATCTTTGATTATGATGTCAAAAGTGCAACAGAGAACATCAAATGAGACCAATCAAACTTTTGTTGAACCTGCAACTAAGAAAAGATGTTGAGTATCTAACTTGAGTTCATGTAGATTCTGAAACCAGCCTTTAGTCTGAAAAATATTTTAATTTCAGCCCCCTTTTGTAAGTGAGTTTGACACCCCTGCTCTAAGGGGCATCCCCAAAGGGTCTAGATTTTCCTGAAGATTTTTGTTTAATAGTTTGCATTTAAACAATTTACTCTTCACACACTCCACCTTGGTAGTATTAAATATATATTTTGTTGCATTAAAACTGATAAATAGAGCAAGCTTGAGCAGATTAAATGTGAATTGCTTATAGCAGGAGCTACTGGAGCTATTGCTACTAAAAGTGTTAATAATGCATGTTTAGGTTGCTGTTAACAAGCTGAAGGTTCACATGTCAAGGATGAGAGTGTCCTCTTTAAAAGCGACATGTTTCCACAACAATTTTTGATCTATTGTGTCTTGACAAGTAAAAAAGTAAACAGAATACATGCCACGCAATTATTTTATGAGTCAATGCAGTAAAGCTGTTGTAATGATCAAGTCCTTTGCAAAAGTATCCCATAAGGTTACTCTGGAGCTGATTTAATATGACTCATAATGTGCATGTGCTAAAAACTGTATATGTATGTATATTAAATATGTAAATATTATGACTATGTTAGAGCAACGTTTCCAGTGAGGACATTTTAGGAGGTGTAAGTTCACAGCAGAAGCAAATGAGCACGCTTAATATCACTGGAGAGCAGAAGCTTTTTTTTTTTTATTTAGTCCTCAGGTCAAATGTCTGCAGATGAAAAGATTTCAGCTTCTGTTGGCTTGTGGGAATCAGCTGCACCTCAGTTGATTAATATGTAGCTAAAAATTGTACTTGTCTGCCATCTTTTAACCGTGTTTTTCAGAAATACCACACAAACTTTGAGTTTCTCTCTTGCTGCATGAGATCTTTTCATTTCCTTCATGTCAAAGTGCATGAAACAGAACTTTACCTCCTTTTTTCTTCAAAGGTATTGTCTTAAGAAAAAGATCAAAAGCACAATTGCAAAGCAGTCATTTTATTTTTTCTCTATTTAGACAAAAGTGGCACGGCGGAACAGTGGTTACAGCTGTCACTTCTTAGCGAGAAGGTCACAGGACCACCACCTGACCTGGGGCCTTACTGAAAGGAGTTTGCATGTTCTCTTTGTGCATGTGTGGAATTTCTTCAGGTGATTCAGTTTCCTCCCGCAGACCAAAAACGTTGGTTACGTCCCGTAACCCCAGATTCTATGAGTATAGACGTAGCCCTTTAAGGCTGTCACTTGTGGGTTTTATCCTGTTACGTAAAGCGTTGCACTGAAAAATTTAGTCCTGTCGTGTGGGCCCCACCCGGTCCATATAAATTACGCTGAGAGCGGGTAATCGGCTCCCAAATAGCTTTTTGCTTCAGCCATTGAGGAGCCAGTGAGGCCCAGAGCTTAATGGGCTACGCCTATACTCATAGAATCTGGGGTTACAGTACGTAACCAACGTTCTATTTCGTATAGGCTTCACCCTTTATGGCTGTCGCTTGTGGGTTAAGGGCGAAGCAGGATGTAGTCTTTGCCTCACTGGGTCCATTCGAACACTGTATGAAGCGCCCGCTTGCACCAAAAAACATTTTATCCCTCAGCCCTCCATGTGCGTAAATACGCGCTGCGTGATTACGTGCACCATGTACAGGTGTGCGCTGCGTAATTTACGCATTCCGTGTACATGGGCGCCCACAGAGAAAAGTTCTCGACGGGAAAAAAGGGGAGAGGCTGAAAAACAGTGAACAGATTCAAAATAAATGAACTGATTAGTAATCAAATGAACTGATTGGTAACAGTATTCATGAACTGATTAGTGATATTAGAACAAAAACCAACAGTCACAAACTTGCGACTGATAACAAATATCTCACATTGTAATTACATGCAGTCAGATGTGAGTTTAAAACGAAGTTCCATGAAAAAAATGAAATTCAGTCTGTTAAGACACCGAGAACAGAATGCGTCATGGAGCGAGCCGACACATCACGCAGATAGAAGCGAATAAATGAGCAGAGCATCTCTATAATGCACAAACAAATGTTGAGTCTGACTCAGTGTGGCTGTGCGTGCTACGTAACATGCCAACGCACGCACAGGGCAGAGAAGATGAAAAGATGCTCCTTCTTATGATTTGTGGGGAGGAGGGAGAAAACCCTCCAACGTTATCATTCTCGATTTAAATGAGCTTGTGATGTTTAGGCATAAACGCTGGGTTAGGTCTCAGATCAGCTGAAACTGCCATCAGCTTGAAACCTGAGGCATGATGGAGCAACAGAGAGAGCAGATAAAGCACTCACTGTCTTTACAGATGTCAAAGCCAACAGCAGGGCTGTTTTAAGTGACAAGAATTTAATCAAAAACTGTTCTGTCACCGAATCCTTCGTGACAGGAAGAGATGGCTGCAGCATACGTTTTAATTGTGCTGAATGCCAGATTTCTGTCCATCAGCTGCTGCAGAAAGGACAGCCCGCCACCTAGTGGACATGTGATGGCCTCTACACCTTTTCCCGTACACTAGCATTGGAAAAGCTGTCCACTTTGATGTGTACAGCGGTGTGGTGGAGGCAGCGTGTGGATCCTGGATTGTGCGCACTACTTCTTGAGAGAGAACCATCTTCTCTAAGCGGATCCGCTCAGCGGCCAGACCCAAAGATGCTGGCCTATTTCTGGGAGGCTCCTGATCGCTCCTCCTGCCTGGAGGAGAGCATCATCCCTCCACGACAGTTTCCACGGACGACCCGATAACAGACGTCGCATGATTGGAAACCACGGGGTGCTCATGCGCTCGATGGTTATCAGAATGGCAGACAGTCCTTCCTCCTGAACTCGGCTCAGAAACCGTGATATTAGAGGGACTGGAGGAAAAGCGTAAAGGAGCATTTCGGGCCACGGGCTGTGGGCAAACGCATCCACTCCTAACGGTGGATCGTCCCATGGGCTCAGTGAGAACCATAGTTGACACCGGGTGTTCTCCCGTGTGACAAATAAGTCCACTTCTGCTCTGCCAAATTTCTTCCAGATCTGAGAAATCAGCTCGGGATGGAGACTCCAGTCCCTGTGGCATGGACCGCTCCTGGACATTATGTCCGCTCCTTTGTTCAGAACGCCGGGGATGTATACTGTTCTGATGGAGAGCAGGTTTTTGTGTGCCCAACACAGCAGCTGTCTCGCAATGTGTAACATTTGGGCTGAGCGCACGCCCCCCTGCCGGTTTATGTAAGCTGCAGTCACCTTGTTATCTGTGTGGATCAAAACATGTTGATTCTGTAGCAAGGGAGCAAAATATTGAATCACATTCAAAACCGTGCGACATTCCAAAACATTTATGTGAGCTGATGTGTGAGATGGCCACAGCGCCCCCACCACCCGTGACAGGCACGTTCCTCCCCAACCTGACAGGGACGTATCAGTGAAAACTGAAACGTGTGACGTAGGTCTGCTGACAGGGACTCCCTCCAACAGTGTGAGAGGATTTCCCCAATGTTTCAGGTTGGTTCCCACGGAGGGGGGCACAGAAATCCTCTGCCTCTTCTGCCTTACCGGATCTATGCGCAGACGAGCGAACCATTTCTGGAG